CTCCTCTCGTACTAGAAAGACCTTCTCTCAAATTTCCTACGCCCACAGTAGATAGGGACCGGACTGTCTCACGACGTCCTGAACCCAGCTAACGTCCCGTTTTAATAGGCGAACAGCCTAACCCTTGGAACCTGCTTCAGCTCCAGGATACGGCAAGCCGACATCGAGGTATCAAACCTCCCCGTCGATGTGAACTCTTGGGGGAGATAAACCTGTTATCCCCGGGGTAACTTTTATCCGTTGAGCGGCAAGCAAAACACTATGCATTGCCGGATCACTAAATCCTACTTTCGTACCTGTTCAACTTGTAAGTCTCACAGTCAAGCATTCTTATACTTTTACGCTCTTCACACGATTTCCAACCGTGCTGAGAATACCATTGAGCACCTTCGTTACATTTTAGAAGGCGACCGCCCCAGTCAAACTACCCATCAGACACTGTTCCCTTACTGGTACGTAAAGGGTAAGAGTCCCAACGCAACAAGAGTAGTATTCCACTGACGATTCAATGGCAACTGGCATCACCATATCATTATCTCCTACCTATTCTGTACATATTGCGCTAAAACCCAATATCAAACTATAGTAAAGCTCCACGGGGTCTTTTCGTCTAACTGCGGGTAACTCGCATCGTCACGAGTAATAAGATTTCACCGAGCCCACATTTGAGACAGCATCCAGATCGTTACACCTTTCGTGCAGGTCAGAACTTACCTGACAAGGAATTTCGCTACCTTAGGACCGTTATATTTACAGCCGCCGTTCATTAGGGCTTCAGTCGAAAGCCAATCTCTGTAAACAGAGAAAAACCTCCTTCCTTAACCTTCTAACACTGGGCAGGTATCAGCCTCTATACCTTGTATTTCTACTTTGCAGAGACCTGTGTTTTTGTTAAACAGTCGCCTGGATCATTTTATTGCAACTTCCCAAATGGGAAGCACCCCTTCTTGCGAACGTACGGGGCTAAATTGCCGAGTTCCTTAAATGTGGTTACCTCGCTTACCTGAAAATTCTCTTTCTGATCACGTGTGTTCGTTGTCGGTACAGGCATAATATTCATATATGTTAGAAGCTTTTCTTGAAAGCATGGCGTCGGATACTTCATTACTTTTCCGAAGAATTTCACTATCTTTAACGTTTGGAAGTTTAAGCGGGAACGGATTTACCAATTCCCCTTCTTACGCGCTTAGACAGATACAACCAATCATCTGCACATCCTAGCCTCCTCTGTCACTCCATCACAGAATATTACGGTATCGGAATATCAACCGATTGTCCATCCACTACACATTTTAGTCTCGTGTTAGGACCTGACTAACCTTAGGAGGACGAACCTATCCCAAGAAACCTTGATCATTCGGTATGAAAGATTCTCACTTTCAATCGTTACTTACGCCGGCATTCTCACTTTTAACCGCTCCAAATCGCTTTCCAACAATCCTTCAATGCAATTAAAACGCTCTCCTACCATTTACTTTAAAAAAGTAAATCCAAAGCTTCGGTATAATATTTAGCCCCGATACATTTTCAGCACAAAATCACTAGAATAGTGAGCAATTACGCACTCTTTAAATGATGGCTGCTTCTAAGCCAACATCCTAGTTGTCTAAGTAATTTTACATCTTTTTCCACTTAATATTAATTTGGGGACCTTAGCTGCTGGTCTGGGTTGTTTCCCTTTCGACAATGGACTTATCACCCACTAACTGACTGCTAGAGAACGCATACTGGAATTCGGAGTTTAATTGCATCGGGTACCCTTAAGAAGGGCCCCAAACACATTCAGTGCTCTACCGCCAATAAGCTTTTTTATCTAACGCTATTCCTAAAAATATTTCGAAGAGAACAAGCTATTTCCGTGTTCGATTAGCATTTCACCCCTAACCACAGGTCATCCAAGCCCTTTTAAACGGACACTGGTTCGGTCCTCCATAGCATTTTGCTGCTACTTCAACCTGCCCATGGTTAGCTCACACGGTTTCGTGTCTAATGCCATGTACTATACGCCCATTTAAGACTCGCTTTCGCTACAGCTCCATATTTTCTACTTAACTTCGCACATAACATTAACTCGCCGGCTCATGCTGCAAAAGGCACGCCATCATACCATATTGGTACTTTGACTTCTTATATGCATACAGTTTCAGGAAACTATTTCACTCCCCTCCCGGGGTACTTTTCACCTTTCCCTCACGGTACTGATTCACTATCGGTCATTGAGTAGTATTTAGTCTTACGGAGTGTTTTCCGCTAATTCCGACAGGATTACACGTGCCCCGTCGTACTCAGGTAACAATCATGAAAAAATTTTTATTTCGAATACAAGATTTTCACTTTCTATGATTTTGCTTTCCAACAAATTCTTCTATAAAAATATTTTCGTTATTGACTGTCCCTATAACCCCAATATTAAAATATTGGTTTGGACTCTTCCCGTTTCGTTCGCCACTACTCAGGGAATCACGTTGTTTTCTTTTCGTCCAGATACTAAGATGTTTCAGTTCTCTGGCTATCGCTTCATTTTTCCAAAGAAAAATGATATCGCTTATGCGATGGGTTGCCCCATTCGGAGATCTCCGGGTCAAAGTTTATTTCCAACTAACCGAAGCTTATCGCAGGTAATCACGTCCTTCATCGCCTCTCAATGCCAAGGCATTCACTATATGCACTTTGTAACTTATTACTTTAATCATTTTGCAAGTTAAACCGTTTTATAATCCAAATTATCAAAAAACAAAATTAAATTCTTGAACATTCAAAAAATAATTGTTTGTTCAAAACTAAACATAACAACCGTAAAAAAATTCCATTTAATAAATAAATGAAAAGGAGGTGATCCATCCCCACGTTCTCGTAGGGATACCTTGTTACGACTTAACCCCAATCACTAATCTTGCCGTCGTTGAAGTTCTCCTAAAAGGTTAAACTTTCAACTTCTAGCACTATCAATTTTCATGGTTTGACGGGCGGTGTGTGCAGAACCCGAGAACGTATTCACCGCGACATTCTGATTCGCGATTACTAGCGATTCCGACTTCACGAAGTCGAATTGCAGACTTCGATCCGAACTGGGACAAGTTTTAGAGATTAGCTTATTTTCGCAAACTAGCAACTCATTGTACTTGCCATTGTAGCACGTGTGTGGCCCGAGACGTAAGAAGCATAATGATTTGACGTCATCCTCTCCTTCCTCTAAATTTTACATTAGCAGTCTCGTTAAAGTACTCAACTTAATGTTAGCAACTAACGACGAGGGTTGCGTTCGTTAAAGGACTTAACCATACACCTCACGGCACGAACTGACGACAACCATGCACTATCTGTTTGATGTTAACCTCAATTATGTTTCCATAACGTTGCACCAAATGTCAAGTCTCGGTAAGGTTCTTCGCGTATCTTCGAATTAAACCACATGCTCCACCGCTTGTGCGGGTTCCCGCCAATTCCTTTGAGTTTTAAACTTGCGTTCGTAATCCCCAGGCGGAGTGCTTAACGTGTTAACTACGACACTGCCTTTGGCAACATCTAGCACTCATCGTTTACAGCAACGGACTACTCGGGTATCTAATCCGATTCGCTCCCCGTGCTCTCATGTCTCAACGTCAGATTTGGGCACGTTAACTGCCTTCGCTCTTGGTGTTCTTTCATATCTCTACGCATTCCACCGCTACACATGAAATTCCATTAACGTCTCCCAATCTCTAGTGAAAAAGTATCAAAAGCATTATGGAGTTGAGCTCCATTCTTTAACTATTGACTATCTTCACCGTCTACACATACTATACGCCCAATAAATCCGGACAATGCTTGCGACTCACGTGTTACCGCGACTGCTGGCACGTAATTAGTCGTCGCTTTCTAGTAAAATAACGTCAAATCAAAACGCATTTCCTCGTCTTGACTTTCTTCTTTTACCACAGATCTTTACAATCCTAAAATCTTCGTCGATCACGCGGTATTGCTCCATCAGACTTTCGTCCATTGTGAAAAATTCCTTACTGCTGCCTCCCGTAGGAGTCTGGGCCGTATCTCAATCCCAATGTGGCCAATCAACCTCTCAGCCTGGCTATGTATCGTCGCCTTGGTAAGCTTTTACCTTACCAACAAGCTAATACACCGCATTCTCATCTAAAGGCGGGGCAAACGCCCCTTTCATTATTTAAACATATGTTCAAATAAGATATTCAGTATTAATCATCGTTTCCGATGGCTATTCTCAACCTAAAGGTAGATTAAATACGTGTTACTCACCCGTTCGCCACTGAGTAATTAAAAATTACTCCGTTCGACTTGCATGTATTATGCATACCGCTAGCATTAATCCTGAGCTAGGATCAAACTCTCAAAAAAAAATGTTATTAAAAACACCGCAAAATTGGTGTGAATTATGTTTAGTTTTCAAAAAACAATCATCTTTCTCTTGATAAGATTGTCTTCTAATTTTATTGTAAAACAAGCTAACAAACTATCTTGATTATTTTAGCATAAAGATAATTTTAATTTCAAGTTTTTTTTTATTTTTTCCTTTTTCTTTTTTTATTTTTTTATTTTTATTAGTTTTTTTTGTTTTTAACTTCAAAAATCTTAGTAATTACGGGAAGATTGTTTGTTTGTAACAAAAGAAGAAAAGCTCCCCCTCCTGTTGAAACATGTGAAAATTGTTGTTCTTGATAACCAAATTGAAACGAAGAAGATGCCGAATCTCCCCCACCAACAATAGTTTGACAATGATTACTTAATTTATGTAAAGTATTTAAAATTGCTTTTGTACCATTTTGATAATTTGATCATTCAAATATTCCTGGCGGACCATTTCAAACAATTGTTTTGGCATTTTGAAGTGTTTTTTGAAATAATAAAATACTTTTAGGACCACAATCAAGACACATGTCATCTTTTTGTAATTGATGTAAATCTTTAATGGTTGGACTACTATTTTGAAATTTTTTGTTTGTTGCAAAGTCAAGCGGCAACACAATTTTATGATCATAAGTTTTGATTCATTGTTTAACTTTTTCTAAAGAATTATTATCAACAGGATTATTACCAACTTGATACCCTTTTGCTTTTAAAAAAGTATATGCTAATGCACCACATACAATAATGCGATCAACATCTTTAAGTAATTTACCAATCAAAGGTAATTTTGATTCTGGTTTTCCTCCACCCATAATCAAAGAAAATGGTTTGAGAGGTTTTTTAAGAAATTTAAAAAATAAATTAATTTCATCATATGCTAAAAAACCAAGGGCAATTTTAGAAGGATCAAAATAATCTAAAACACCATAAGTCGAAGCGTGTTTTCGATGTGATGTTGCAAAAGCTTCATATACAAAATATTGTCCTAAAGAAGCAAAAAAAGAAGATAATTGAGAATCGTTTAAATTTTCTTTATTTTGATCGTTTAAATTATAAAAACGAGTATTTTCTAAAAGTAAAAGCGAACCTTTTTGTAATGAATCAACTTCTTTTTTGATTTTATCTTGATTTAAATCACAACAAAAAAACACGGGAACTTTTAAATGTTTTTGTAAATGTTTTCACACAGGTTTTAAAGTATAAAGAGCACGATCACTTTCTTTTTTTGGTCTTCCTAAATGCGAAAGTAAAATAACACGACAATTCTTTTTTAATAAAAAACGTAACGTTTTTAAAGTTCTGCGAATTCGGAAATCATTAACTACTTCACCATTTAAAATGGGAACATTAAAATCAACACGAACTAAAACTTTTTTTCCATCACATTGAAAACTATCTTTTAATAGAATTTGATCAAGTGAAGAATTTAAAAGAATACTATCTTCCATTTAACTTTTTTTATTTTTTATGCTTTTGTTAGTCAACATTTTTTTGACGATTAACAATTTTATTAAATTTTTTTCATTTGGCAACTTTTTTTAAAAGAATACGCCGACATACAATATCTTTTTGATTCATTTTTAAATGGTTGCTTAAAAGATTGATGTTTTCTTTGAGAAGAGCAATCTGAACATTATAAGAACCACAATCAGTAGCATGTAATTGATTTTGCTTAATAATTTGATCTTTAATTTTTTTTAACATGATTTAAATTTTTCCCAAAAAATTTTTCTATAATTCTTTTTAATTTTACCATATAAATAGAAATTTACAAAAAAATTGTTTCTAATTTATTTTTTTATTTTAAATCATTTTTGATAAAACATTTTAATTCCTTTGAAAAATAAAGCTGAAATTAACAAAAATGACGTTAAGAAATGAAAGAATGAAACTAAAGATAATTGATTAAAGAGTTGATGATCAATATTTTTTGTTCCTTGAACAACTACCATATTAAACCCATTATTTACCAATTCTTGATAATTTGTATAATTTGGATTTGTATCACCTTGTTTATTTAATTCATTATTTAAAGTTTCAAAACTTAAATAAAGTTGAGAATCTTGTTCTGGAATGAGGAAAAGACGATCAGAATTCAAATTTTCAGAAGGGAAATAATGAATTTCAAAATTGAAAAGATCTCCAAAATCATAAATTGATGAAGCTTTATCAAAACCATTTCATGTATTATTGTATTCTGAACTTATTACAGGAGAACCTTGATATTCTTGTTTGCTTAAATGAAGATTTAAAGAATCGGTTGAAAAAATTGTTTTTTCTTTATTTAAGATACTAAATGTAGGTCTGAAATAATAAAAAGAACCATCATTATCAACAGATTTTCCATTAAATCGTTCGATTGTCAAAACATTTTTATCAATATAATCAGGTTCACTATCAATAAATAAAGGTCCAAAACTTTCTAATGAATGTCTCTTTTCTTCTCGCGCTAACACTGCAGAATATTGAGAATTAAATCAAGTATTCCGAACATGTTCACTCATTATTAAATCTTCTTTCGGATATCCATGTCATTTCATAAGAGTATTGAGATCTTTTAAATTTTTAATATAAGCATTTTCATCAGCACCAAATTCATTAGAATTATCAAAGTTAAAAGAAGCATCTATTGCATTGTATGTATCATCAAAAAATATTTTGCTAATTGAAAAACGACCACGTGGAAAATGATTTTCACAACCCACATTTCAAGAATTACAAAAAAAATCACCTTCATTAAAAATATCACCACCATAAGTTCAAACAGATCAAGGAAATTTAACATTTTCAAAATTTTGCAAAGTTAAACCAATTTCTTCGAATTCAAAAGGATAATAATCATCACTTTTATCAATAATACCATTTCTTAGAATATCTAGTATTTGATTAAACATATCTAATCCAACAATTTCTTTTTTTCCAGAAACTTGAAATTTAAGTTCATTTGTTGATTGATCAAAATTAATTGTAATTAATTGATTTCATAAATCTCCATATGTTTGTTTTGTAATTCAAATGTAATAAGAAACACCATCAATAATTTCTCCACCTTGTTTTTTTAATTCATCAAGATAAATATCATTACTAATAACAACATTATTTCCATAATGATCTTGAGAAGTAAAGAACATATCGTCAATTGTTTCGGTACCATTAAACTTTATTTCTCAATTTTGATAATTACCAAAATTAAGAATTGATTTTCTTTTTAATAAATTTTGATAAAAAATATTAATTGGAAGAGTATCATCATTTTCAACATTTTTGTTAACAGCATTTATTCCATCAATATCTAAAGTGAGATAAGCATTTTTTAAATCTTTTACTTCATTAATTCAAAGAGAAGTTTGTTCAGGAGCAATATTATCAACATTCAAAGTACCAAGTCCTTC